TATAGTAGTATATATAGTATAACATGATCCAGGTCGCACCTCTCTCAGTCTGCTCGTTCACCTGAGCTCCTCCTCTCAGCAGCTCTCGGACGATGTCGCTCTTTCCCAACATGGAGGCGATTAACAAAGCGCTTCTCCCGAACTCGTCCTTCTTGCTGAAACAACGGTTTTCCTGCGGCTCGTCCGCGTCCCGCTCAGCCTGTAAACACTGTCTGATGGTGTCCAGATCTCCAGACACCACACATGATAACACTTGTTCCTGAACACACGCCATGTCAGCGCTCGGTGACTTCAGCTGGGGAGCAGACAGGAAGCTACTGTTGTCATGGTGACAGCGTCAGCCAGGCTCTAACCTTTAGCTTTTTTACTTTAACAAAGATTCACTAGAATATTATAGAACAAATGTGACATCTTGGTTTTCCACAGTTTCATTTTGTTTTATAAATAAAGTCTTTTAATATTTGTCAGTATTTGGAGCGTTGCTTCCTCTGTATATCAGTAAAACCATCAGAGATATGAACTTATATACTTCATCTTTCATTAATGTGGTGTCTCTTCATTAACTTCTTCCATTTGCAGGTTTTTTACTTTAAACTGCTGCTGGGGCTCGAATAACATTAGTTTGTGAGAGGCTCTCTGTCTGTCCCTCTGTAGTTTCACTGTTTTTGTGCTCGACTCAGCCTCCTGATGAAATCATTGAGCATGCAAACCTTAGGTTCATCTCGGATTAAACACTGTTCCTCTTGGTTGTAAACTAAGTAAAGTGAATTACTTTTATCGCTTAAGAAGCAGAGGCCTTCCTTGCCACCTGAGGTCTGACTCATGACTTTGTTGATGTTTCGAGGACAGAGGAAGAACTGTGGTGATGGTCAGAGTGAGATGCCAAAGACTCCAAATTACAGGCATAAGTTATGTTATCAGAAAAAAAAATTATGAACATGTGCTGTTTTGAGAAAGTATTAACAGAAACTCAAATGACAGCATTTTCCATTATATTCACCCAGCTAACCATGATTCTAATGTTGGAACTTTTCTGGATCTGATTCATTTAACATTGAAAATGAAATGAAATGAAATGAAATGTTTAATTTAATAAAAAATTTGAAATGATGTGCAGTTTGTTGAGAAAATACAAAAATAACTATATCCTTCATATTCATCCTATTTTTAATGCTTATGAAGAAAGTGAAAACATTTGCTTGTAGAAAAAAATGCTGGGATAAAATTACATTTAAAAAAACCGTGTTATCACAAAAAACAGGTCATGATAATTTAGTTATAATTTATTTGCATGAAACATCCATCATTGACAAAAAAATGAAAAATCAAATCAAGTTGAGAGATTACTTTAACTGTCAAGTCTTCAGTAGATGTTCCACCCTGGTAGAAACAGAGTGTGTGTATTGAGCAGTTCAGAGTTGAGGATGTCATTCATACGCCAACACCTCAGTCAATCGGCCTTCAGTCTCTCAGCTCTTATCGGGTCTGTCCATGTCATCTGTGTTGAAGTTGAAGGGTTTATCGTAGCCCATCAGGTGATTGTAGTTGTGTGGGATGGGGAACAGGTCTGGGTTTACCAGCATCCCAAAGTTGTTGACGTAAAAGGTGGTGAACATCTTGCTGACGTCCGGGATCCTGACCTGGCTCTGGTGAAACGTGTACTTTTTTTCTGTGAGGAAGACACTGTAGGTGATGGCAGTGTAGGTGTCTTTGTCCGGGTTGTGATACAGACGGACCACGTAGCCTTTGGTGATGAAGTGGAGGAAGGCGGGGGTGAGGAAGGTGAAGAAGCCGATGACGCCACAGAAAGCGACCTGCAGGGCCAAGCTCTGGACGCCGAGTCCAGTCTTCAGGAGGATTTGAGGCATGAGGAAGAGGCTGGCCCCGCTGGTGCTGTATGAGAACATCTTCACCCCTGACAGAGAGAGAGGAGGATTCAGTCGCTATAGATACACTTCTTCACATTCTGTATTCATCAGCCATGCATCCATTTTATCCATCAGCACCAGGTGGACGTCACTCACTGTAGAATTATGTGACTGTAAATTAAGTTATAATGCATTAACTCTACATTTAAAACAGTAACTTCATTTATGTTACTGTTAACAATGGGCCCACTACAGAGGCCTCGCAGGGCCTGTGCTATGAATCAGGTTTAACTCTGTTTTTTTTAAGTCCCGACTCCTTGTTCACTTCATACCAAGCTTATCATCATGGTTACTGCTGTGACCAATCAGATCACTGGGAAACCAGACTCATTATTTCTACAGGATCTGACAGCGATCCGGTCAGCAACATGCACTTAATATATTTTTTTGATAGAAATCCTTTTTTCCTAATAAAAAACATAAAGATCTAAAGATCAGGAGGATAAGAAGTCATTTGTGTTTGGAGCTTTCCCACTCTGTCTATTTAAAACCGTCCACAAGTTAGTCAGGCTGTTTGAAACTTCTAAATATTTAAGAGACAACAACAATGACGTCTGGATTTTTTCCTTTAACAGGAAGTCATCCTCACAGATAATTAACCAACATATAATCTTGGGCCCAGATTTAAGACTCAAGTTATTTTTTTCTTTCAGAAAACGGTGTCTCACCTCTAACAGCACTGCCCAGGGTGCCAGTGTAAATGAGGTTCCCCTCCTCAGAGTGTGTCGGCACAGAGAGAGAGCGGGTGGACGGACAAAGAGGCCGCACCTGCAACAAAGAAACAGAGGACACTCGTGAAAACAAAGCTGGCTTTGGCATTGACTGGCATGTGATGTTCAGTGATGAAGCACCCGCACCCACACCAGAGAAATAGCTGCTGTTTGCTTCCAAACCTGAAAAACCACCGGTCTGTCTATCTGACAACTGTCAGCTAGTCTTTATAATATTAAATTCAACCTCAGAAGGGAGCGTGCACATGTGCACACACACTACAAGTTGGCTGACTGTACAATAGTTGGCTCGTGTTTCCAATGTTACAAACAGGCTGCAGGATCCAGGGTAGTACAGCCACAGGTTACATAGGAACAGCAATTTAAGTCAACATATGATGACAGAAGTTTTCTCTATCGATTATTTATTCCGATGCAACAACTCCAAGTGAATGCAGAAACAGTCCTGCATGTTTGCATGAGGAAAAAACAGTTTCCTCAATTAAAGCTCCTGCAGGACATTTCATTGTCCCACTATTCCCTGCACAATGACCACAGGAAGTAATCCTGGTGTTCTTTGTGTAAAGAATGTTAATTAACTGTAACATGTCTGTAACAGTCTGCAGTCACTGTGGGGGTGAAATAATCGAGCAGACATCCCACAGTCCATCAGGCATGAGCAGTCGATTCCAGCCAGATCGATCTGAGCGGCTAGTGCTAACTAAGCTAATCTATACAAGCGTTGGTAGCATTAGCCGTGTAAAGATCTCCGGCGAAGCATTCGTTCAATGGGTGCACTGTGTGTCTGTGGGGAACACGCGTGTCCGTCCGGAGTCAAATACCTTGCTGTTAAGACTGAGGCACGACCTTCTGACAACATGTAGCTGTTTCCGGCTAACTGCTCCGATTAAAGAGCCGGGACACAGCGGCGCGTGCTGTCCGGCCGAGACCACAGTGTACCGGAGCGAGGCCGACACGAGGCAGGGTCGAAACCTCCGCAGGACACTGACAGAAAACATGATTCTTCAGTTCAAGACCCAAACGGATTCATTGACTTTCTAACTCCACACACGCCGGGAAACACTTCTCTCTCGATATCACACACCAGCAAGAGAGGTGTATGGCGCCACCTGCTGTACAGGAGGACCAGGGACAAGGACAGAAGTGCAGGAGATGCTGAGTGTTATAAGTTTTATTTGTCTCAGGTAGTTAACACAGGGTCAACAGTGCAATAGTTACATTAAAATAAAAGCAAGGTAGAAAGAGCTTACTATAAAAAAGTCAACTACAATATAATATTATTATACTCATTACTAATACTAATTATTCTACTTTCTATATTATTTATTTTTTACTCTGATGTATTGCGTGTTACAGTCTTCTTGTTGTACCTTGCAATTGTGAAGTACTTTGGTCAACCAGTTTGTTTTAAATGTGCTATATAAATAAAATTGACATTGACAATACAAAACAAAAACTATACATGTTTAAATATGCAGTGTGCCATTTGTTGCAAATTAAGTAAGCACTTCAGCAGTATGGAGTGTGTGTGAATACGTATTGCAAACATTTCACATTTTCCAAATAAAATGTGTGCAGAGTAGCAGAGCGCATCAACCAAATGACAATATTTACAACATAGATGAGAAAAGACAGATTGTGAAATAAATAGAGTGGTGGATTGTAAGTCATGTCATCATCCGTCCATTATTTACTTTGTGCAGAGAGGGGCTGTCAGGATGGTCTTACTGTGTTAGATGGGACCAAAAAGATGTTAAAGTTGCATTCAAAGAAATCAGGAAACAAGGAGACAGTGAGTGTGATTGTCAAATGTCAGATGCTGGTGTTACATTTACACATCTACACGCTCAGGCAGGTTTATAATGGAGATCTACAGCCTTGTATTCCTCCAACAAACAGCAGGAGTGTTTCTCGCCTCAGTGACAAGGTTTAAAACTTAATTTGCAGTTGATTGGATGTTTATTGTCTTAGTTTGATCTACATCAACATCCACAGCTCTGGGATCAGCTGCTTCAGTAAACACTCAGCTTTCTAAGCATCATGTAAAGTTCTACATCTCTTCTCTTATCCATTTAACTATTTCATTGATGATAATATAGTAAAATGTGAAAGCCCTCCTAAAATCTAGAGAAAGATAAACCTAAATCCAAAAAAATCAAGAAAATCTACAGTTCAACACACAAAAAAGGAAATGCACTCCAAAATATGTACAAAGTCAGATTCAATATGAATAAAATGAATGAGATCGAAAAGCTCCATAGATAACTCTGACAGGTACACAACTGACACTTAGACATCTGCTGCTGGTTTGGCAATTCATCATCAATACAGTGGAGGACCTTTCCACATGTGGATATTCAACATATTGTCCTAATTTCTTAAACTTATAACTGTCAAATAAAATGATTAAATGCTAATTGGTCATAAGATGACATAACAATAAAAGACACTTTCTTTTTGGAGTAAGGTGGTGGACCTTGCTAGCCAAATCATTGGCAGGAAAGTGCCTCTTAGTCCTAAATTGTGCCTATTGAATCTCTATCCAGAAGACTTCACTACCTCTAAAAAAATTAGGTCTCTCCTGAATATTTGTTTTCTGGAAGCCAAACGATGTATTGCTCTC